TAATTATAATTTAATATAATATAAATAAATAAATATATATATATATATATATATATATATATATATAATATTTATTTATTTATTCATTTATTTATTCGTATATTGTTATTTATGTTTCAATTTCATTTCAAATAAAAATAAATTGCTACACAATATTTAATTTCTACCGCCTTATCAAATGTCACTTTGGTGAAATCAAATGTTACCTTATCAAATATCACCTTATCAAAAGTCACCTTATAAAATGTCGCTTTATCAAATATCGCCTACCAAATGTCACCTTATCAAATGTCACCTTTTCAAATGTCAATTATAAAATGTCGCGTTTTCAAATGTCCCCTCCTCAAATGTCACCTTATGAAATGTTGCCTTATCAAATGTCACCTTATCAAATGTCACCTTATCACATGTCACCTTATCAAATGTCATTTTGAAAATCAATGCGAAATAGACTTATATTACTATTCTCAGAGTTCTACTATGTAACAAGTCAACTAAGTTGGTAAAAAAAATATTGGCCTAACACTAATTTGAGCATTAGGAAGTAATTTTACGCCTACGACTTCTGGGATGTAGGCTCAGTAAATAGCTAACGTATCATATCCACATAAGCAGAATTAAAATAAATAACTCAGGGAATCTCTGACTAATTGACCATTAAATGCCGTGATCCCATTGGACAATATGTTAAGACGGTATCATTAGGGGAAAAAAAAAAAGAGAAGAAGAAGACGAGGGGGAACAACCGCGTCTTCGACAATTGTCGTCGTCACAACCACCCCACCCCTCCCTTTTTTTCGTTCCGCCACGAACCAGAATTTATTAATAGCCGAAAAAGCGCACAGGTTCCGGGTTACGCTAAAATTATCAGGGCTGGTTTCCCCACACCAGGAGCAAGGCGGCCTATAAAAACTAACGACGCGCCGATCTATCAACAACTCGAGATTCACCACTCGCTCAGTACAAGTCGTTAATCACAAACAACTAGTCTACTTTAGCTAGAAACCCTCAAAAAAAAAATAATTTTTTTTTAAAGTTTCATGAACTTACTCAACGTTAGCCGGTATTAAGAGGAGGTAATCGCGGTAATATTTTCAAAGTGATACTTGTTCATTATAGCAAACAGGAGGAAATTATACAGAATCTAAGCGAATTTTAAGGGGAAAAAAATTAATAAAATGAAATTCATCGCCGAATTCGCAGCTTTCATCAGCATCCTCACCATTGCATTCTGCTCGCCGCTGATCACTTCTTCACCTCCACCAAGCGGACCAGACGCAGGGGAAACAACCGAGGCAATGTCAAACTCGGGGAGTGACAACCCTTTCCTGAGGCAAAAACGCGACGTCAACTGCCCCATCCCCCAATATCTGCCCCAGCTGGTCCAAGAGTTGAACACATTTCTACCCAACGCGTCTGCCTTCATCGGGCTCCCGCTGCAATCGGCCAGACCCACTCTCCCAGCGGGCCAACCAGCATTGGGTGTGTGCCCAGCTGCTACTGGATCTTGGTGGCCAGGAACGACGGACAATTTGAAATCTACCTGCCCCTGGGTGTTTTCACGCATCGGGGACTGGGGAGAATCTTTTTACCCAAGGTATGTTTAAATTCATTGTATTTTCGAAATTTTATGTACATATTTTTTCAATTGCCTCATTTTTCACCCTGGGGGGGGGGTCATGCTGATGTTAATAATAGCAATGAAATAAAAACATAAATACTAATCATTACCCTATTCTGAATAACAGATGATTTTAAAAATCAAATAAATTTAACTTTTTTATAATAATGTATTTCCTATTGGTACACTAACAAAATAAAATAATATTTTTTAAAAAGAATTTACTGAGTAACTGGATGTATTTTATTATATTTAAAGAGTTCCTTAGAATAATCATCTTATAATCTCATTTATTATCATCAGATACTACCTGGACATCGATTGCCTCTGCTCAAACTGCATTTCGTCCAACGCCTTGGGTTGCGCCAAGCTCAGAACTGAGGTCACCATCTTCCAGCGAGGTGCATGCCGGGACGGACTGGCCGTGATGACGGCCGTCAAGAAAAGCGTCACTTCCGGCTGTTTCTGCGCCGGGACTCCGACCGTCAAGCCGGTGGCTCCCCCTACCGAGTAAACACTTGAGCCACCAAGCCAACGTGAGGAGGAAAGCGTGGAGTTGACCCTAAGAGGAAGTACCTTCTGAGAGGACAGTGCACTTTTTAGGTTACCCCATTATGCTCAGATAAAGTTATAAATTTGTTTTAAAATTTGTGACCTCTGCCGAGCTTCCCTCCCGTGTTAGCGCTGGTGAATATGTTCAGATTCCTATGACCCAGCCAGTATGCTGCTCATTGTAGGTCATATTGACCTTAATGGATCACTGTAAGCCATGTAAATCTTCATACATTTATTTTTATTAAAAAATTTTATACATATATAATTTTTGTTAGAATACTTAAAAAATATAAATTATGTAAACGTTATGAATCTCAAAAGTACCAAAGTATTATGTTGCAGTACTTGCAATTGCTCAAATGTGTAACTAGTCTTTCATTGATGTTCGCTGGCGACCTGCCCGCTTATTCATGTTCATAGAAATTAATTCATCTAATATCAAGATGTCGGTATTTTCTGGTATCAAATGAACGTTACACTGAATACAACTTTTGTATACTTCAAAATCATTACACAGGTTCTTTGCGATAAATGTGTCCATACAAATTTAGGCTTATAAAAAAAGAAAGAAAAATCTAGTTGTTACTAAAAACTAATAAATCACATAGGTGAACCGATTCCGTTAACTTTTCCTTTATGTAAATGATTAATCTCAAACTCGAAATCCCGTCTACCATCCTGATTTCATTCATTAATCTAGTTTTCAATGCAACGGTGAAGTGTATTTTTGTTTAGTTTAAAAAAAAAAAAAAAGCTAATTTCATTTATGTCCCCTTACATACAGAATTATTTGCCTCTAGTTGTAATTTTTAAAGAAGTCCATTAAAAGCCCAGCAAGCTTTACAAACAAACCGACAGAGCCTTTGAATTATTATTATTATTATTTTTTTTTTTTTTAATTTTATAGTCACACATTTCCTTTCACTGTTTAATTGACAAAATCATAAATATTTATTCGCCTTAGATATTTTAATGCAAATAATGTATTTCATTATAATGCTTGATTTGCCTATGTTTTTTTCTGCCATTACACACTGCCATTACATTGTGATACATTACATTATATTGTTATTTTTTAAAAATGTTCTTATAAAATGACTGATTCCCTGTTTTAATCCATAGAGGTTTCCGACCACTTTAAGTAGTAAAGAGCTATATTTTAAAAAAAACCCTAATTGAAGAAAGTTATTTCAATTAGACGGAAGTAATTATTTTATACTGAAAGACATCATGTCAAGACTATTATTATGTAGAGAAAAACTATATGAGGAATCAACATTAGCATCTATGAAAATTGACAAGAACAATTCAAATGTCCCAATAAATTTTCCATCACTCAAATATTATTTGTTGTTCTAATTATAATGTTTTAATGATATTTATTGAAATAATTTTTATACATTCAAGGAAATGTACATATATTATATATATATATATATATATATATATATATATATATATATATATATATATATATATATATATATAATATTCAATACTATTTATTGAAACGGCTATAATATTTACTTGATATATTTATATAACCATGTTCCGGCCACGTCTCACTTCAGTTTGTAAGGCCCAGTTCGTCAGAAATCCCTGCTCTATTGAGCAGCCCATAGTTACACTGACAATGTGTTGATATCTGTGCATCGCTTTATTTGAAATGGCTTTATGATTTAGTCTCAAAGTAAGTTTATATGGTGCTATACATAGATGTTTGTTTGTTGATATATTTCCTGTCACTACAACTTTTGTTTGATGTTTTTGTCATTAGAAATTATTTGTTGTTAATGAATTGAATCCTTTCGATCATGTTTTGCTATTTAAGATGCTTTGACAAAAATTAAAAAAAAATATTTGAAAAAAAGTAAAATAAATGTGTTTTTGTTTTCATAACCCATTGAAATATTAAATATTGCTGTAAAGAAAGTACGTGAACCATCGTGTGTGTGTGTGTGTGTCTTAGTGTCTCTGTGTGTATGTGTCCGTTTGTCGTCTATGTGTGTGTGTCTGTCAAAATGTTTCTGTCAGTGTGTTGAAATGTTTTGTTTGGTCTGCTGACCTTTAACCACTTAGAAATGTGTGTTATGGGGTCAAGGGCTGTACGCATTGGCGCCCAAGTTGCTGAGCTGACCAATCAATTCGGGTTTTCCCCATATGACAATTAAAAAAAAAAAATTACATCTTCTCAAAATAGATCTGTAGTTATGGGTTCAAATTTTTTTTTTTTCAATTTTACCCCTGCCCACCAATTTGACCACTGCCCAAAAACTCGGCCCTTGCCCAATAATTAGACATCTGCTCAACAGTCCGACTTCTTCACAACAATTTTAAATCTACCCAACAATTCGACACCTTCCCAACAACTCAGTCCCAGGTCAACAATTCAATTTGACCCCTGCCCAACAACTCGGTCCTTACCCAACAACTCAGCCCCTGGTCAACAATTCAATTTGATCCCTGCCCAACAACTCGGTCCGTACCCAAGAACTCAGCCCCTGGTCAACAATTCAATTTGACCCCTGCCCAACGACTCGGTCCGTACCCAACGACTCTGCCCTGCCCAACAATTCGACCTCTGTCCAACAGTCAGACCACTTCCCGACAATTTAACTTCTGCCCAGCAACTCGACCCCTTCCCAACAAATTTGCCGCTGCACTACAACTCGAACCCTGCATAACAGCTTTTTTTAAACCGCCTCGTGCAATTTTGGTTCAGATTTTAGTTTTTTTTTCAAAAAATACTTCTACTGTCACGAATAGAAAGAATAACCCGTGGACTTTGAAAGGGAAAGACAGAAATACATGAATACAATGTGGGCTTGGAAAGAAAATAGCACCCTTAAAGAACCTGTCGGTGGCCCTAGAGAAATTGTCAGCTTAACAAATGGACTATACTAGCGTTTCTCAATTTTTATCCCGGCTATTAGCCGCCTCGGTTTGAGACTCATCCAGTTCTAGCCCCCCACACATGTATTAACCCATTATAAGCAACCTAAAGGTTACCTTTTGTACTACCCGATGTGGTAGATTGTTATACAACTGAACCGAAATATATATAACAAATGTTTAAACAAATAATCAAAATACAAATAAAACTTTTACAGATAACTGATACCTGAGCTCTATGAAAATATTATAATTGTTGAAAAAGAATGTTAGACATCTAGCTCTTCTTTTCTGTAAGAACAAAATTCTAATGCCGTGGATGAGCTTGCAAAAGTAATAATTGGTTTCCAGTTCTTGGTTCAACTTTCAAAGGCTATATGTTTATATTTACACCACATCACAAGCTCGAAGATAGCACTAAAACCACATTCTTGGCCACCTTCTCAGCCACCTTCTCGGCCACCTTCAAAACCACCTCCTAAACCATATTCTCAACCACTTTCTCAACCACATTGAAACAACCTCCTAACCATCTACTCAACCACATTTTCAGCGACCTCTTCAACCACCTTCTCAACCACCTACTCAAAAAACTTTCAGTCACCATTTCAAACATCTTCTCAACAAACTTCTCACCCACATTCTCAACGACCTTCTCCACCACCTTCTCAAACACATTCTCTGTCACCTTTTCAACAACTGTTGCTTCCTTACATCCCAACAAGACAACTACGCTCTTCCATTGACAATAGAACCCTCTCAATCCCAAGAACAAAACCTAAGACCATCGGTGAACGCTCCTTCTACTTCCATGGGCCCAGGTTCTGGAACCAGCTCCCCTTGCATATCCGTCATTGTGAAACCTCGTCCACTTTTAAAAAGTCCCTTAAAACCCATCTGTTTAGGTCCGCCTATGACCTGTGATGCACCCTCCTTGCCCTGCCTCATTTTCTGTCTCGGGTTAATCCTGTAATATAGGCCAAAACGTGCCAAAGTGTCCTCGATTTCTATAGTATAGTAGTTACTATCCTAATGTCTCATTTTTATTTTAGTTAGTTTACATGTTTTTAATAATTGTAAAGCGCTTAGAGCTTTAAGGTAAGCGCTATATAAAAATGCCTAAATAAATAAATAAACCAGTCAGCTTTTCAGCCACTTTCTCAACTACCTTCTCCATCATCTTCTCAAACATCTTCTCAACCACTTTCTAGAATTACTTCTCAACCACCTTCTAATCCACTTTCTTAAATTACTTCTCAACCACCTTCTAATCCACTTTCTTAAATTACTTCTCAACCACCTTCTAATCCACCTTCTCAAATTACCTGCCACCGTTTTTCCAGCTGCTCGCCAGGTGAACACTGCTCGAGAACTCTTAAAGTGGGACGTGTGTAAAAACAATTGAAATATTAACGCTCCATTCACAAATAGACACGAATGAAAAGCGAGTGGAGAGTAAATCTTTTAAAAACAGCACACACAAAAACTGACGGGGGGGGTGGGGTGGGGGGAGAAATAGACTTATCTATTTGATGTTGA